AACACAAAAAATACACGTCCCATTATGATTAACAACATTGGTACATGTATACATCTTAACATTTGCACATTTAGTGTTGACATTTTGCACTTTGTGTTCACTGGTTTGGTGAGAGGTTGCACAAATTCATTGGCCATGGACATTTAACTGTTTTGAAATGTGATATTTTTTTCTATGACAGCATATGTAAAAGTCTTTTAAAGTTCTCAGTAACTACTTACTTTTTAAAACAAATACTTTTTCATTCATTTGGGGTACAGAAGTAATATCCACATGTAAAATAAGTTGTCAAGAAAGAAAGGGGATGTAACTCTAAATCCTATTCTTCTGAGGTTACTGTGTAATAATGACCAGGTAATTCATCAATAGTTGTCAGCAAATATCATTGATATCTGTAGCAGACGCCCCTGAGCTCCTTACAGTGATGGACCACTGACATGTTTGGACAGTATTAGGGTTTTTTATTCTTTGCTAAAACAATGCTTTTATGACAGTCAGGCTCATTTATTTTGATTGGGAGGTGTGATAACTTACAAGTGACAATATACATTGGATGAATTATGAATTATATTATGATTTTGTCTTTTTGCAGGTGAGTACATAAGGCCACTATAACAGACCGATGCAAGAGTTACCTCCCTTCCGTTCAGTTTAACAGTAAATTCTCAACACTTAACTAGTCTTTTTCTCACAATGCGTGTATGTGATGATTTTTTTTTTCAATAAAATCTTTTTTCAACAGTATATCTTTCACTGGCTTTGTTGTTATTTCACTGGAGGCAATAGTTTAAAACAGACTAGGATCCCAAGGCTTATATTTCTAACCTTCCTGTCAACTGTTATTAGAAAGTTGGTATCAAATAATGGAGACTAATGAGGTTTGGCGAGATCTGCAAAGTAATCACCCCATAGTTCACAAATATCTTCTGCTGTGTTTGCACATTTATGACCAAATACTAGCTCTTTAACAACTGGACTCTGTCGCCTCATTTTGCGAACTGATTTAAAGAAAGTACCTATATCAGCATCGGAGCACCTTTCTAATTCGCTACTTAAGTCTGACCGCTGTTTCCGTTTAGACTTACGATGTAATCGTCTAAATTCCCGCTTAGCTGATTTGTAATTAATATACAAAGGCGAGTTACCTGTCCGAGTTATCCCGTGTTATCAAGTGGCCAAGTCAGGTGCATTGTTGCGTTTGTTTGCACGACTCCACGAGTGTACCCGAAAACACTACCACTAAAACACTGTCAATTAAACTGCAGTTGAAAACTTATCGAACCTTAATTTTAGCTAGTTAAAGATAAGAATTTTTGTTATGGAAATGCGCATCTTAAAGTTAAGACTACAAGTTATATTGCAAAGTTTAGATTCCATCCAAAGCACAAAACTAAAAATCATTCTCTGAAATGGTTTACCCAAATACAACGTGTGAAATGCATGGGAGCAGAGCCATGGCATGACTACTAAGCGAGATTCACGTGCAATGTCATGGCAACGCACAGGTCCACGCTGTTGATATCGACAACAGCCGCATTGTTTAGATAGGGGCTCCAAAAAGGAAATGTTTTGTGAAAATATATAATATTGGACATAAATTACACTACTCGCCTACACGTGAGGTGTAAATAGTTTATTTCCATACTTTCCTCGTGAGCAAAACTGTAGGTGTATGGGTCGACACACCGAGGAAAGTATGGTAATAACTATTACATATTTGTGAGAGCCAGCCAAGAGTGAACTTGTCAAAATAGGATATGTCGCCAACAAGAGATGGTATATCGACTACGTTTATGAGATGACATGCTGAGTTATGGAGTGAGTGAGTTTAGTTTTACGCCGCACTCAGCAATATTCCAGCTATATGGCGGCGGTCTGTAAATAATCGAGTCTGGACCAGACAATCCAGTGATCAACAGCATGAGCATCGATCTGCGCAATTGGGAACCGATGACATGTGTCAACCACGTCAGCGAAACTGACCACCCGATCCCGTTAGTCGCCTCTTACGACAAGATAGTCGCCTTTTTTATGGCAAGCACATGGGTTGCTGAAGACCTATTCTACCCCGGATCTTCACGGGTCCTGAGTTATGGAAGCGGAAACAAGTGTCTAATGACAGCACAAGATCTATTTAGACAACTTTTAAAAAGTCATACTGTTAAGCATTTTCTTACATTTCACTAAAAAATGAAATGTTCTATGTCGCTGTTTTCGTGTATTTTACATTATGGACTAAAATTCATCTGAAATTCAATTCTAACTGGCAGTGAACATCTGTATTATCGCGTAGTCAGTTTATTTACTTGTGGAATAAAAGAAAAATATAACGTTTCATATCATATGGCGTCTGTACATACTTGAGTTTAACAACTTTCTACTTACATATAACCATATGGTTAAGGGTGTATTTTACGGTATGGCCTTTCTGGCAAAATGGAAAAATAAACATGCGTCAAATCATACTATGAGTTGGTTAGGTACTTATTATGCCAGCAAATGAAGAAATCTGCAAAGTCATGCCAAATATATCTGTTGGCTCCCCGCGAACATCGTCATTGTATTTTTCGTTATGTATATTACGTTATATATTTATTGTCTACATGATCGGCTATATACATTAAATCCAGGGGGATAAATTGTCAAATATAGGTTGCAACATGCATATGTGGGTTAGCCCACTTGACAACACGATAGTACGATACGATACTCATGTGATGAACGATGGTATAACGTAATATGAATCTATAAATGTGAGGAAATCTTGAATGCTGTGTAAACGTTATATTCGGAATTTGCCGTTACCGACAATGAGTGTTATAGGTTTGAGGTTACTTAGATGAAGTTTGTGCTAAAAGGTAGTCGCGTCTAAGGCCAAATGATTCTTCCACGAACATAAATGTTTTTCATAACGTAAAGTACAAGATTCATAACTATATATACAGTCAAATCTACTTCCATCCTTATTAGATATTATCCTACGGACGATGTTAAGGACAGTGATTTTTGTTTCTAAGAGTCTATAAATATACATTCTTGATTACAAATGAATACAATTTGAAAACTTTACACATTTAATTGATTAAATTATAGTTATCAATTATATTAAAAAATCATAAATTACAATTTTGGGACAATGATAACAAGAAATTAGGTTTGAATTGGATGTTAAAAAGTCATAAACGGAGTTAAAGTATACGTGACCTTTGCACCATGCAACTTACAACCTCGAAATACATATTTGCAATTGTGCACTTACATTGAGAATGAGTGTAAAACATGAAGACAGTGCATTAGCGATCGTTGCTGTTACGGAATCGCTGCTTTAGTCAATAATCAATAGTGGCGCAAGAATTTCAGTTCACCATTTTGACACTCGCTAAACCAATAACGTATTGCAACAATGAGGGAGTGACTTTCGTTTTACGTCGCTTTTAGCAATATTACATCAATATCAAGGGACACCAGAAATGGTTTTCACTCAATGCACTCACATAAGGCATCGAACCCGCATACTTGGCGTGATGAGCGAACGCTTTAACCACTGGGCTACCCCACCGCTACCATATCGCATCAAAATTTATGCTTGTGGCTGGGAAACATGTACCTCCAACAGAGCGGAAAAGAGGTTCATGTGTCTGTCACGTGACTGATTGTACTAGGTTAGATTTACGTGTCACCGTGCTACCCCTCGTAATTCCACACGGATTCCGAGCTGTGGTAACCGAATATTTGTAATTTTATGCATCAATGATTGGACATTCCCATGGTAACTCCACAGGCGGGGTGGTGTCGTGGCCTAATGGTTAACGCGTCCTCTCGTCACGATCAAGACCCGTGTTCGATTCCCGAAATGGGTCCAATGTGTGAAACCCCTTATCTGGTGTCGCCCACCTTGATATTGCTGGAGTATTGGCGAAAACGTCTTAAAAACCGTACTCACTCACTAACTCCACGGGCTGTCCTGGCAGAACAGGATTTAGTACGGAGGTTATACAAGGCGGGGGCACTAATCATTGCTAATGGACACCCAAGTCTATCACAGAGATCTGACTCAGAGGCAACCAGTCCTTGTTGTATCTCCTTCTAATGGCAGGCACGATAACAACAAGTGTCATATTTCCACGTCATTGTTATCACGAGTCTGAAGAAATACTAAACCTTGACATTCCACTCTCCGGGAGACGCCCTGTTCACCAGACCATGGATAAGCTCCTACAGTCAACACGCTATAATGGGTTCATGGTCTCGTTTCGCTTAACCTCGCATTGAGCTGAGTCAGAATGCAAGGAGTGAGTATGGATAGCTTTGAGGATAATCCCCGCTCGTCACACGGAAGACCTGGTATCGATTCCTAACATGGGTAGAATGTGTGAAGCCCATTTCTTGTGTCCAATGCCGTGATATTGCGGGAATATTGCAAAAAGCGGCGTAAAACTCTCACTCTCACTCACTCACTCACTCACTCACTCACCCACCCACCCAATAAACCGACCCACCCACCCACCCAATAACTCACTCACTCACTCACTGCTCTTATTTAGCCTAAAACTGTCCCCGTCTAGCACTAGGGTAGGGTAATCCTGTTCTTCCATAAAATCTAACCCAACATGCCACGATACTACTGAAATTCTGTTCCAAACTGCATTGAAAAAACTCGGCCAGTGTTCTGTCCTCAAGTTTCAATCAGAACTGGAGGTTAACGTCCACCGGGGAGCTGATTAAGTCGCGCTACACCGTGCAGTCCGTGTTTGCCTGCCAATACAGGTAAATAGTGACTACAGGAAGTTAAGTAGGTCATGCCTAGCAACGCCCGGGTACACAGTGGGAGGGGCCGTCACTGGCAACCTCTTCATCCACTCCATCAATTACGCTCCTCGGGATTTATCGTGTTGAACAAGGCTATAGCAAACATTGTGCTGAAACCACAACTACCCATCCACGGAAGGTTCGTTGTCATTCGGTATCTCTCGACCCTTTCCGTTCATCTTGTGACCAGTCGGGAAGACCCGAGTTTTGCCGGACTGTACACACCCGAGTTTATTTGGTCACTCTCTCAGGTGTGACCCGTCTCTGCATATTTGAGATCAACTGGAGCGGAGTTACGGCATTCCATTAGCCAGATACCCAAAATATAACTGGTAAGAACTTTTAAACACAATCTAGTTCACACATTACCTTTTATTTAATTAAATACGTCTGTAATGTTGACAACTGGTGATGTGTGTCAACACCCGTACAGATATGCCACTTGCATCTATGTAGAGGTGACGTTTTCATGTATGAATGCATGTCATATATGCTACTAATTGGTTATGGTGTTGTGAACAAACATTGCTCTGGTATAAAAGCGTCATATTAAGGCAATAGCTGTCGTTAAAGGAATATTTGAATCTCATTTTGAAATGAGTCATATGAAAGGAGGGGATATGTTGCTGTCATCTATAATAGGGTTAACACGTCGTTTTCATTCACCCGGGCGACGTGTAGGAATATATTCCGAAAAGTCGTATTCTTCAAAATACAGAAGTTGTCCACACAGGCCCGGCACTCATACCATTGAACTCTGTCTTCTTCCCTCGTGCTGCTAACTCAATGTCAGGCTTACGCTAAAGAGTTCACGTGATATTTGGTCACGGTAGAGTGGAGATGAAAATACTGCTTGGTCTATTTAGAGCCTGCTTATTTCTCCTCGGTAAACTGGACACAATTGGATTTAATTCAATGCATGTAGCGTTGTTAGATACACAGGTAACCTTGATCGAAAACACTGCAGGTTTGTTTCTTAACTGAGTATTGTCGCTGTAGGTATTATGTGTCTCAACATCGACACCGCTTTCACCTAAGTACCCATCTTCACCGGGTAAGTCCCACCCGCCTGACGGCTTGAAGGAATTTAGGGGTAATGCATCACTGAATATAAGTGCTGCTGGAGTCGACCGCCCCTCTCTGTTGAGCATTACAAGTAGGGGTGTACTTCAGCAGCGAGAACCCTGAATACATTTAGTTCTCTATGGTGGCCGAAAGAGCATTGCAAGCAAAGGTGTACTTGGTCACCACAGAATACACTCTGTGGTGGCCGAAAGAGGAGGGGACGTCGCTTTATAGCCTTAAACTGCTGTCGCTATAAAAACGCTTAGTGTCTAAATATATATAAATTTGATTGAAACAAATTATATCCAGTGAAGTGGGAAATTTAGAACCTTACTAAATGTAGACTTGTTTCATTTAAGGCTTCAGCATTGATGAAAGGGCAGGGCATATTTATCAATATCGCTTTTTCGTCTGAGACATCGCTTTGTTGCCTGGTTGTATCGTTTTCTCGTCTGTGACATCGTTTTCTCGTCTCGTGATATCGCTTTGTCGCCTGGTTGTATTGCTTTGTCGTCTCGCAATATTGCTTTCCCATCTCGTGATATTGCTTTGTCGTCTCACGATATCGCATCCCCATCTCGTGATATTGCTTTCACGTCTTATGATATCGCTTCCCCATCTTGTGGTATCGCTTTCTCGTCTCGTGATATAATTTCCCGTCTCGTGGATTCACTTTCCTATCTTGTGATGTTGCTTTCACGTCTTATGATATCACCTTCTCGTCTCGTGATATCGCTTTGTCGTCTGGTTGTATCGTTTTCTCGTCTCGTGATATCGTTTTCCCGTCGAGTGGTATCGTTTTCTCGTCTCGTGATATCGCTTTCTTGTCTTGTGGTCTTACTTTCTCGTCTTGTGATATCGCTTTGTCTTCTTGTGGCATCGCTTTCTGGTGTCGTGATATCACTTTCTCGTGTCGTGACATCGTTTTGTCGTCTCGTGATATTGCTTTGTCGCCTGGTTGTATTGCTTTGTCGTCTCGCGATATCGCTTCCTCATCTTGTGATATTGCTTTCATGTCTTATGATATCGCTTTCACGTCTTGTGATATCACCTTCTCGTCTCGTGATATCGCTTTCTCGTCTCGTGATATCACCTTCTCGTCTCGTGATATCGCTTTCTCGTCTCGTGATATTGCTTCCCGTCGTGTGGTATGTCCCCTCTCGATCACCATACATTCAGACGTCTCTGCTTATACAGATAAAAATACTGAACGCCAAACTATGTGTGTGCAAGGCTACCATGAACATGTATACGCTATTATTGACGCCAGTTTCCTTTCACCGTAAGGTATAGTTTTGCATGAACCTGTTCAACAGGCTTCTACCGCGAAACTAGAACAAATACCTAAAAGCGCTCTAGTATACCCGGGTGTAACTGCCGTGACTTCTTTCAGAGGCGTTTAGTAAATTGGTGTAGTAAAGAAAGAAAACGATATATGGATGAACAAATGTAAACATTGACATGTTTAACGCACCGAAACACGCAAACATCGAGTATGGTTACACGAAAAGTAAGGCATTGCATTCTTAATTGTTTGTAAACTAGTTCATGGCCACACAAATCAAGAAAATGAAAAATCAGTCTAGTTTGGAACATCATACTTTAAACGCCTCGGCTGATCATCGTGTGTTGTGTTTTGTTTGGGAGTTTTTAAAACTCAGAAATTATGTCCTGCTTGACTGTGTATCGTAATTGTTGGCTCAAATAAGAGGGGTGACTATTGATGGGGAAACAACTATTGCGACAGCGATAGTCTATTGCAACATACTATTGCGATATCGATAGTCTATTGCGAACACCTTTTGCAATACAATTGCACTAGGGGTTTTTTTCTCCTTGAATTATCTTATTTATAGTCATTTCCCAGATGAATGTATAGTTTATATGAAATTAAGACAAGTTTGAGTAGCTTCAGTCGCTTTTGATAACTGACAAGAAACTTGAAACCCAGATCAAGTAAACAGAACATAGACTCAATGAAGCTGCAAGTCTGCACCCAAACAATAAAAAATACAAGACAACATAAATATTACATAAAAATAAATAACCATCCAAATACCCCTTTGGATTGAGAATTTATCAACGGAAGTCAGTTATTAAACTATCGATAGTCACACATATACCATCGATAGTTTTTTGTTTCTGCCATCGATTAATTGCTGTCGGAGACTCAACAATTGCAAGCCATCGATAGTTCGAGGCATCGTTACAGCCCTATCAAATACCATTCCAAGCTTCACCAGTACTAACATGGACCCTTCGTGTGTTGTGATGGAATATGGCTACATGTGTATACATGTAAATTGATATTCACCTCACATTACCAAGAAAGGTTAAATCTGAGAATTGGGAATATACTGACGGAAAAAAGAAAGTATACTCCCATTCTGAACAAAGAAATTTGGTGGTGGTGCATCATGATGGTGTTTTGGACCTAGGTCTTCAATGCTCCTTCGACTGAATTTTGCCCGGTTAAGTCTTGATAACGTCTGTATCTTTTATTAGTTATCAAGTCCACTATTAATTTTACTCCTTAGCATATTTTTTGTCGACCTTATAAAACAACAAAATATTTATTTATTTATTTATTTATTTATTTATTTATTTATTTATTTATTTATTTATTTATTTATTTATTTATTTATTTATTTATTTATTTATTTATTTATTTATTTATTTATTTATTTATTTATAACAGATTTAAATTCGCGAATTCATACTGTGGAAAACTTAAATAGATGTCCATGTTAATAACCCCAACTCCACCAAGTTGGGGCGGTTGGGTAGCCTAATGGTTAAAGCATCCGCTCGTCACGCCGAAGACCCGGGTTCGATTCCCCATATGGGTATAGTGTGTGAAGCCCATTTCTGGTGTCCCCTGCCGTAATATTGTTGGAATATTGCTAAAAGCGGCATAAAACTAAACTCATTCATTTCTCACTCCATCATTGTGGTAAGGGTCGATATCACCTCGGACTTTCTTCACATGTCAAGATAACACTGAAATAACTGAAAAACTGCTCAACTCGGCGTTGAATTTGGAAATTACACGATTCTTATCAGTCAATCAGAGGTATCAAATCACTGACTATCACTGATTGAACAGGTGATTTGAAGACCCCATCACCGATGAAGCGAATATTTATAGGAAGTTACTTCTTCCTTAATCATCGTCACACCCGTGAAGATCCGGGTTAGAATTGGTCTTCACAAACCCACGCTTGTGGTAAAAGACGACTAACGGGATCGGGTGGTCAGGCTCGCTGACTTGGTTGATACATGTCATCGGTTCCCAAATACACTAATCGATGCTCATGTTGATCACTGGGTTGTCTGGTCCAGACTCGATTATTTACACCCCGCCACCATATAACTGGAATATTGCTGAGTGCGGGTTTAAAAGAAGAAGAGAACGAAAGGCAGTCACCGTGACAGGCAGAAATAGTACGTACAGGTATTGATTACAATATACATGCATTGCAGTTGACTGCAACATGTTGTTCTACTTCAGGTGGACTGATATAGCAGCTGCAGGCATACAGGAAGCTCGGCCATGTCGGTAACTCATCAACCGGGCCAGCCACCGCAGAAGCAGGAAGGTACGTGTGTCTTCAAGTAGGCTACGTATCAGTGTCAGTGAGTGTCACCAGGTAGGCGTATTCCGGTACCCATGGATCAAGCTAGACAAACCAGGCTAGACAAACGACTAGAAGGAAGATATGGCTGTCCTCGGGTTGTTTGTGTCAGTGGGTGTCCTCAGGTAGGCTCATTCCGGTACCCATGAACCAGACCAGAAGGAGGGTATGGCTGTCCTCAGGTGATCTGTGTCTGTGTCAGTGGGTGTCACCAGGGAGATCAATTCCATTACCCATGAACCAGGGTAGACAAACGACTAGAAGGGCGAGGAAGGTATGGTCTGTGTCACTGGGTGTCTTCAGGGAGGTCTATTCCATTACCCATGAACCAGGCTAGACAAACGACTAGAAGGAAGGTATGGTTGTCCCCAGGTGGTCTGTGTCAGTGGGTGTCATCAAGTAGGCCTATTCCATTACCCATGAACCAGGCTAGACAAACGTCTCTACGCCAGCCCGACGTCATGTTAAGCACACGGTCGATTATGTATGAATTATGACAATATTCACTTACAGATGTTACACTTTGACTAACCAGTATTTCGATATCTTGATAACAGCTGCTGCTGGTTAGATGACTTGTACTCTAATAACTGTATGACCTAATGCCTAGATACGAAGGTCTTTCAAAGTCATGCTAAGAATGCGTGATTTTCCTCACGGAATTCTGAGATTCTACCTCCTCGCCCACCAATACCTAAATAAGTACTTATTTTTGTATCTATGCAATTGTGTGTGATAAGTATGTGCATATTTATAACGAACCAAATCCTAACTAAAAATATGACATAGCACTACATTATGTACACTTGTCAATAGTTTACTGTGCACTCGATTTTCATTTTAAGGTTCGCTGGATGTATATCGTCAAATGCCTGATGAATAGGGCTGGATATTGCCCTGATTTTCATATCGCGATATATTGCAATAATTTAAGAGATATTGCAATACATATTGTGATATATTGACTGGAAGGTTTCTGCCCAAGTGCGTACATCATAAATTCAAAATAGCGACATCATCTTCTCCGTTGCTGTTACACCATACTTTCTGGCTCCCCGTCCCCATTGTGTAAGGCTGTATGCCAATCGTTTACAGATAAATAAAATGATATAGAGCCTTAATGTGGAATATATTGCACCAACGTTTTGCGAACATAATGATAAAGGTAATAGTATAACATGATTTTCATAGTCAGTGTTGTTTGCTTATATAGAATGCACTTCAGTGCAGTATGTAATTATTGTTACTGTATGTGATTAATTCAGATTCACTGTGTTAACATGAAATATTGCCAAATGAAACAAAAACAAGATTTAGTTGAACTACTTGAGATTAAAATCGCATGTGACCTCCAATAGCTAAGATCCTTGACTGGAATGTATGATAAATTGTTATCATATGCCCCATTATGCATCAGAAATGTGGGGTTATCAAAAGTGGTCTGTAGTTGAACAATTTCATAAAAGGTTTTGCAAAATTTGTATTGGGTTTGAATTATATAAGTTCTAATGTTGCTGTTTTAGCAGAATTGATAGACATTATATTTATATTGATTCGATTGTTGAGAGTAATTAAATATTGGTTTAAATTGCTTGAAATGCCCGTGGATAGGTACCCTAAACAGAGCTACTTTATGTTGTATAATTTAGATAAAGTTGGACGTAAAACGTGGGTGTATCATGTAAGAACTATTGTATTCACTTATGGCTTCGGTTTTGTTTGGGAGAATCAAGGTGTTGGATTTAAGGAGGCATTTCTATTCAAT